ACTAGTACCTTAAAATCATCTGGGAAGTTGCCCAAATTAATTACTATTAGTTTTCCATTGCTCAAGCATTACGTCACATCAAAATGATTTGCTATACAATTTGAAAGAGAATCACTGGATCCTGAACACCAAAAGTGTTTTCTTTCTACCCAAACTTTAGGTGTCTCTTCAGTGGTCGCCAGACATCATAAAAATAAACTAGTTACCATACCTTATCATCCAGATGAGAACACGGAAGGCTATTGAAGTGTAGAGGTCTGAAGGAAAGTGCCACTAAAGGAAAATGGCATATAACAGTATACCACAAAGACATCCATTATTTCACCACATACCAGAAACGATCTCTGTTGTTAAACTCAAACACATGGCTGTACACTTGTATGCGAGAAAAAAGTTTAGGTGAACAAGAAAGGTTCACCTACTTCAATAAAACGAAAATAAAGTATTAGTGTACTTTGCAGAGTAAGTACTTCTTCCCTTTAGATTAGGCTTGTCCTCAAGCCAACTTATACTTTTAGCTTATGTATACATAAATATAATGCATAACAATTGTGGATATGTATAACTTCCTGTTACTCCTGTAAAGCACTTACACAACAAAATACTTAGACAAGAAAGATAGACGCACAACCTCCTCCAACAATGATAAATATTCAAATTGCCAAGGTAACATTACATTATAGAATACTATATATAATTAAACAGAAAATAGTGCATGTGTGTCACTATGGTTTAGTTTACCTGGACTGTGAAGCCAAAGGTTCTTGTTTCGTATCCCATTGCCACAAAAGTGCTCTCCAAGCTTTGGAGCTGTGGGCGTACTGTATGAGTAAAAATTTTCAATACCTACTATTCAGTCAGAGAAGTATAGCCCAAGAGGAAGTTTGTATGATAACGACGGTAATTGACGTGATTAAATAGGGCTCCAGTGGAAAGTGATAAAAAGACTAAAGATTTAGTTGAAGTGGTAACAAAGATTGAAATCTTCAGAGAAAGTACTGATTACCTGGTGTAAAGAAGTTTTGAACAGAAGGGAGAGATTTGTTTATAGATAGTGTAATATAATTAAGGAAATTAAATGTACATATGTTTTGCAAATGTAGTGGTTTATTTACTGATAGCAGGAAAGAGGGAAAGAAGTAATAGCTTGTCAATATTGGGAAAATATGTTTTCAAATGCAAGGAAAACAGAAAATATTTGGAAAGAGGACTAAGACATACTAGAAAAGCATTGTTAATGGACTGCATCTTTCTAGGAAGTTTTCTGGATGACGTTTCGAGCTTCTAGAACAAATCTTCATCAGCTACTTTAACTCTTACCTGATGACCTGATACATGGGATCAGAACATTGTAATAATTAAAATCAAAATTTTCCTACTTTAAACGTTGCCGTTATTGTATTTTTCTCTATTTCGTTGTGGAACAAGATATAGAGAGTACACTAGATAGTAACCTACCATCCCACAACCAAAGCAGATGCTTTGGTCCTCTTATTCAGAATGCCACTTGGAGAGATCTATCAGTGGCACTTGCTCCAGCAAAACCATCATGGGAAGTCTTAGAAAACTTTCACGCTTACTGGAATCCAGTATAGTTGTATCTAAATACCGTGATTTGTTTGCAGCTTGATATTCCTTTGCAGAACACAAGCTTTTTATGATGCAGACAATTCAGGAGGGCAGTCTGGTAGTAGAAAAGCCTTTGTAGCAGCTGCTTTGGGCTTCTTCTGCTTTTGTAATTTGTTTGTGTTACTACCTCGAATCTAGTCACCATAGATACTCATCCATTACAGTGTAAATATCTTTAACACACTGGTGAATGTTGTATCAATGGCTTGGTATTTCTTCAATAAATTCGTCTACGTAAGTGATGCAAATCTTTTGCATTATCAGCTATGTTGTCCGTGGGACCTCTTTATTAGTCATTAAACTAGGCCCAAGTGCTTGATCAATCAAGTGATGTACTGTCCAAACCCAACTTTAGGCATTGCACTGCTTTCTTCAGCCCATCAGTTCCAATATGTGACCTGCTTGAAGCATTTAAGGAAATGGTCCAGATATTTCCTAGTTGTGCTTTGGAATGTTGGAGAGAGATTTGCTTAACCTCACCAACAGCAACCTGTGGCTTAAAATGAAAATATCTCCAGAGTAAACAATTCGCTAGTCATGACGCCAAAATTTAAACTTAGTATTTTACTCTGTGGTGTTCCCAGGTACGCTGATTTACCTTACAGGTAAGAATTGTAACCGTACATGCAAAATGGGAAGAATGGATCAAAAAGTTCAGCATTATTAACTGGATTTTTTATTATGACCGTATTTGAAAATGGAGACCACTGACAATGTCGAAACAACGTGAGAAATGAATCTTTATTTAGAGAAAAAAACAAAAAACAATCAAGGTGGATGAGTACACTAAAACAGGAGACAGTGCTGTTTTTCGATTGGGGGAACTTTTTATTTTATATGTACTGAAGGTAAATCTGTAGAAAATCTAGATAACAATGGGAGAATACAATGACTACACACATACGTCATTGGTTATTCTATCAGCAAAAGTAGAGATTATATTTCCTCAGGGTACCACAAAACGCTCCACATAGTTAAAGCTCTACAGAAACCACATAGATTATCAGTCTGTACAGCTCTGCAGCGATCTCTTCTATGAAAATGCTTTGAGTAACATCGAAGAGGCATGACCTAGAATAGTAAGTTACCAAGGCAACTGGAAGTTATCTGCATTCGAAAATTAATCACTATCATCGAAGCTATACCCACGTCCGTTCATGCATATGCATGACATGTTTTGAGAGGCTTAGATAAAAACCTCATCTGTCTAGACTAAAAAGGTAAAAAAAACACTAGTGTATTTCACATATTATTACACTATTATTTCTTTTAGTGTAATTATTTATTACATTATTTCTTTTAGGCACTCTCTGCCAATATCTTTCTCATCATAATCGGAATTTAGATTGTACAACAAAGTACTCTCATAATCAAAGTAATCATACTCATCTTTCTTTGATACCTAGATTAACCAGTTCTAAAGAGGTTTAGCAGTGAGATGGAATTTTAGCTTTATCGACTTGTTTGACATGCTCTTTAACATCATTTTAGCTCATTCTTCACTTCATTTAGCTGTATACGTACAAAATATACATCAGAGAAGCCAGAATGAGTTGCTTATATACTGCAGACGAGTACCTTAGTCAAATCAAAGCGCCAGTCTAGAACTTTCCTTCTGTTATTAATCATTCTAAACATGTGTTTTGGTAAACAACCGCTTCACCAATCTCTTCATACGCAAACTCACATGCATCAAAGTTTTTAGAATGCAACTCTTCCACATATTCCCTTGAATACTAGGATATATCTGCGCTGAGCACAAAGCCGCATATCAGGTCCACTGGGAGCTGTAAATCTCATGCAAACGTCAGGAATTTTTGGGAACAACTAATCAACTGTTGTCTAGATTCATGGTATGCCATTCATATCATACGGTATCTGCTTATTCTAGTCACAACGCTAGAAACCGGGTTTCGATACCCGTGGTGGGCAGAGCTCAGATAGCCCAATGTGTAGCTTTGTGCTTAACTTCAAACAAACTTATTCTAGTCGAGTTACGCAGCGTTCACAAACTTAAAACAACCATTTTCTCAACAGTTTGTATTGTCCATTCTCAATGCACAGTTACGTAAAATAACACCAATAAATTAAATCGTGAAATGAATTAAAGATTTTTATTAGCCTAATGGTTAGAAGATTTGATAATTGTTTTCTGAATTAGAAAACCATAGTTTCTTGTTTGTTTTAGGACAACGCCACATAATGGGTTTTATCAAAAGATGAGATTATGAATGGTAGGCTAATGAAAACCTTTACGTTAATTCTCGGACGAATCCATTGACGTTCTTTTACAAAATTAATTGTGTTTTCGGTTGCATATTAGTTAACTCTAATAAATGAAGTTGTAAAAAGACGGGAGCCTTGAGTTAGTAGATGTTTTAAAGTTTATTATAAGCTTAGCATTTATTTTGATAACGTCTTACAAAATAATGTTAACTAATGCCTTGAAATTAAAGGTGAACTTAATTGTTTTCTCAAGTTAATACTTGTATCTAAATTAGAATAGTAGTTAAACAAGTTATTATAATAATAGATAACTTTCAACATATGAAGTGGTAACTACAACTAAGCAGTAATATCTGGGTAGTCATTGGGTTGGTTGGTTAGCGTATGGTGCAAAGCTACGCAGTGGGCTATCTGTGTTGTCTCCACCACGAATACTGAAACACGCTTTTCAACATCGTAAGCCTTCAGACCTGAGCCACTAGGGGCGGGTAGTCACTATAACAATAACAGTTGTCGAAAATTTTTCTTATCTTTATGGCCCGGCATAGCCAGATGGTTAGGGAGCTCGATTCGCAATCTGCGGGTCGCGGGTTCGAATCCCCATTCCACCAAGCATGCTCGCCCTTTCAGCCGTGGGGGCACTATAATGTGACGGTCAATCCCACTATTCGTTGATAAAAGAATAGTCCAAGAGTTGGCGGTGGGTGGTCTTCCCTCTAGTCTTACACTGCTAAATTAGGGACGGCTAGCGCAGATAGCCCTCGTATAGCTTTGCGCAAAATTCAAAAACAAACAAACAATTCTTATCTTTATCAATGTGCAAAAATTTGTTTTGTTAACAATATATAAAATATATAGGACATTCGAGAATAATTCTTTTACAATATTTATCAATGCCAGGAGTTTTTGATAAGTACAAGTATGTTTAATTATTTTTTCGATGAGTTTATTTTTACCAGGGATAAAAGTTTTTAATTTTCACTTCAGCTTCAGGCAATTTAATAAAATGGGTTTTGTATGTTTTATTGTAGCAATTTATTTGTAATAATACATTATTATATTATATTATTTCTATATTTTTTTGTTCCTATAATTTCCACGAGAGGACAGCATACAACCATTTTGATGTTAATATTTGGTATTAATTTAACGTTAGGAATCAAAGAAGACAATGTAATTTCAAGTAAAGCGTTTCATTGTAAAGAATGAAAGCTAAGGTATCCTATATTGTATTGTAGATTTGGGTTATTACTTTAAAGTTTTTGAAAGACGAGAAAGAATTAACGTAACGCCATGAGTTCACAAAATAATACTAATAGTGATTCAGTTGCAAGTAAAAGTCATGTGTCTGGTACACAGCACTCTACCAGTACCATTAATAACGTTAGCGCTGTACAAGTTGTTCTACCTTGGGGAACAAAAAAAGAACGGTTACCCTTTCCATCTTCTATATTAATAGACATAGACGTAAAACCAGGAGAATTTGTTCTTAGAACTCTTTTTGCTGAATTTACTGTTCAAGCAGAAAAAAAACGGAAGCTGTACTTGTTGAACCATTGGAAAACCATTATCAAAGTTACTTCAAAGAGGCGAAGATAGTGTTTTTGATCAGTTATTGAGTGCTCTAGGTTCAGCTGCGGAACATTGCCTGCCATCACTGCTTCATACACTGTTTGCATGGTATGACAGACAGGGTGTTGATTCTGGACAAGCATATGAGCAAAGATTTCGATCTGACTCATCAAAGTCAAAAGGTGAAACAGCTGAAAGAACAGAACACGATTACCTACAAGAAAAAAGGGACCTAGCTATAGAATTTATATTTTGCCTGGTTCTTATTGAAGTTTTGAAACAATTTGCAGTTCATCCAGGACATGAAGATCTTGTGAACCAAATTATTAACTTAGCATTTCGGCATTTTAGATTTAGGGAAAGTGCTCAAACAGGCCCCAATGCACAGAATGTTAATATTATAGCTGATTTATATGCAGAAGTCATTGGTGTTTTAGCACAGTCTAGATTTCAGTCCGTAAAAAAGAGATTTACTATAGAACTAAAGGAACTTCGAAGTAAAGAACCAAGCCCAATAACAACACACAGCATAATCAATCTTTTAATGGGAATGAAATTTTTTAGGGTGAAAATGGTTCCTATTGAAGAATTTGAAGCATCATTTCAATTCATGCAAGAGTGTGCCACATACTTTTTAGAAGTTAAGGATAAAGATGTCAAACATGCCCTTGCTGGTTTATTTGTTGAAATCCTTGTACCAGTAGCAGCTAGTGTCAAAAATGAAGTGAATGTACCATGTTTGAAAAATTTTGTTGAAATATTGTATTCACAAACTTTAGATTTGTGTACTAAAAAGAAGCATAGTTTAGCTTTGTTCCCTCTTGTAACATGTCTTTTGTGTGTGAGTCAGAAATCTTTTTTTTTACAAAATTGGCACTACTTTTTAGCAATGTGCCTATCTCATCTAAAAAACCGGGATCCAAAGATGTCACGTGTTGCTCTTGAATCGTTATACCGTCTTCTTTGGGTCTACATGATACGAATTAAATGTGAAAGTAATACTGCTACACAGAGCCGGTTACAAAGTATCGTAAATTCTCTCTTTCCTAAAGGATCTAAAGCTGTTGTTCCTCGTGATACACCACTTAACATTTTTGTTAAGATTATTCAGTTTATTTCACAGGAGCGTTTAGATTTTGCAATGAAAGAAATTGTGTTTGATTTGCTCTCTGTTGGTCGACCAATTAAAATAATCTTGACACCTGAAAGAATGAGTATTGGACTTCGATCTTTTTTAGTGGTGGCTGATAGTCTGCAACAAAAAGAGGGGGATCCACCAATGCCACGAACAGTAGGAGTTTTACCATCAGGAAATACACTGCGTGTAAAGAAAACATTCTTGAACAAAATGCTTACTGAAGATACTGCTCGAAGTATTGGCATGTACCAGTATTACCCATATGTTAGAAAAACATTTGATGATATTTTGCGTGCCCTTGATGTTCAGTTTGGAAGACCTATGATGATGACAACCATTCAGAATGTTAATAAAGAACCTGATGATATGATTACAGGAGAAAGAAAACCAAAAATAGACCTATTTCGCACATGTGTGGCTGCTATACCAAGGCTTATTCCTGATGGCATGAGTCGCCAGGATCTAGTTGATCTTCTTGCTCGACTTACTGTTCATATGGATGAAGAGCTGAAAGCTTTGGCATTTCAGTCTCTACAAAACATGATGCAAGATTTTCCTGATTGGAGGGTGGATGTTGTATATGGATTTATTCAGTTTGTACTTAGGGAAGTAAATGACACTTTTCCTCAGCTAATAGATAATGCTTTACGAATGCTTTTGCAATTTATAACTAACTGGAAAAATGCATTGAATGCTCAGCCTCAGATAAAACCAAAAAGGGAAGCAATTGAGCAGTCAAAAACTGAACACTTAACAAATGTGCTTCACCAAACTGAGGCATTAGCACTTGTCATGTTATGCAATTGTCGTTTTGTACCTCGTAGGTTAGGTGCCCATATACTAAAAGAAATAAAGATGCTAATGAAATCACTTGCACTGTTAAACAAAGGAGAGGAGACTGTAGCAGATGTAATTGACAGGATGTGTCCTTCAGCCATAGAGAAGTGTCTTCCACTGCTTCCTTCACATGAAAAAACTGCTATTGCTTCAGCACAAAGTACAGACCTGCAATGGTTGGCAGAGAGAAATACTCAAGCATGGTCTTCTTGTGTGCCAGATGGCTCTTTTGAAGGTGTGAACAAGCAGTCAAGTAACCAGGGAAATATTTCAAACCTGGGAAACATGGATGCCTGGTGTACATGTATGATGGTCTTTATGAGTCAAGATGGTGTCTTAAAACAATGCTCCTTAGCTGTAGCTCACTCTTGGCCTGTCATTTATGCTAGAATCACTTCACTTTTTAATTATTTGGATATAAACCCTGTTAATGACAACCGGGCATCTCTTTTGAGAACTACCACTGTGAAAAAAGCACCAAATGAAAAAGATATGCATCTAAATTTGTGGCGAAACTATCTAATGTTTGCATGCAGAGTTGCTCCTCCTAACAACAGTGCTTCAATTTGTTATCTTTCTCCAGACCTTAGTTTGAGCTCTTCTCCAGATAGCATTGGCTCAGAAAGGTCAGATAATCGTTCTCCCAACAGTGGAGGAATTCATGCATCCAATTTGTTTAAGCAAATAGTACCACTTCTTCGTAGTGAACAGGCAGATATGAGAGATGCCGTAGTTTTGGGGTTGTCACATGTAAATCAGCATGCTGTCAAAGATTTAATGGAAGAGTTAGTGCCTTACATTCGAGAAGCAATTGACAGAAAACAAGAAAATATGAGAAGGAGGCGAAGGAGAGATATTTTAAGAGTTCAACTCTCTCGTGTTTTGGAAATTATAGCTAAATATGGGACGTTTGGAGTAAGTCCCAGTGTTTTAGACAGAGATGCAGGTTCTCTTAGTACCACATTTGTAGAGTATATTGATGGAGCAAGGCTTTATTTGGAGACTGAGAATGATAAGGATGCATCTGCTATTGTACAAGAGATAAAACATCATTTTTGTGGTTTCATACACAAATTAATTAAAAGTTTTTCCTTGGAAAACTGGACAAATCTTTTAGGTAGGGACTTGAGAAAAAATTTGTTTTTCCTTTTTGGTGTGTGGAGTGGCAGATTTGGAGCACCTTTTGGCATTGATGACAAGCGGAGTCGAAAGATTCAGCTATGTCCTGATTTTGAGTTCTCCTCCCTGCAAGCAATGTCTGCAGTTCTTTGTTGTGGCCCATCTCTTGATGTGAATTTCCTTAATGATGAAAGTCCTGTGTACAAATGGCTTGATAATCTTTTAGGTTCTGAGGAAGAAAAACTTTATCAACTTGGGCAAGAAACTGTTGTGTTGCTTTTAGAATTTAATCCTGACACTGGGTCTTTGCTGGATTGGCTTGTGGACAGATGTTATACTGGTGATGTGCAAGTTGCTGATGGGTGTTTTAGTGCATTGTCTGCAATCTTTAGTGTCAGGGAGTACCCCTGTGACCACTACATAGCCATTATCAATGTCACATTAATGAATACTGGTTGTCCAAGAAGAAATGTTCAAGAAACTGCACTTCAACTACTCCAGCTTCTTTATCAGAGGTTTTTTCAAAGCTTTGGACTGTCTATTGATGTGCATGGAGACATAGCTAATAGTAGTGAAGAAGTAACACTACGTAGAAAAAAGCATTTGAACCAGAGTTTGATGTTTTGTTTGGATTATCCATGCTCACAACTTCAGTTGTCTCGTCAGTTGGCACACCTTCATCCAGAATTAACCATGCCAATTTTTTCTGAAATAACTTGCAGATTTCAAACAGCTAGGTCAAATTTATGTCAGAATCTTTTGCAGTATTTGCTTCCCTGGTTGTACAATATGGAACTTGTTGACCCTAATATTTCTCAGCCAAGTTCATTGCCTCAGTTCTCAAGACTCTCAGAGTTTTCCGGAGAAGTACGTAATAACGATGGGACAGTGGACCAAAAAGATGGATGGGGATCTGGAGAAGCAACAGAGATGGTTTTAAATAATTTGTTTTACATAACTGCAAAATTTGGAGATGAACATCCTACTGAGATTGAAAACCTTTGGGCAGCACTTTGTAGTTGTTGGCCTAATAACTTGAAGGTTATCATTCGTTATTTGTTAATTATTACAGGGCTAGCTCCACATGACTTGTTATCATATGCTAAACGAGTAGTATTGTATATGGCTCGGGCTCGCCCAGAACGTTTACTTGATGAGATGATGAGTGAACTACAAACGGTTGAAACTTTAAATTGCCTTATTGAACGAACTGAAACACCACCATTTTTCAGAGTTACCAGCATAAGAAAAGGTAGTAACCATTCTGATGATGGAACTTGTAGTGGAACACATCTTGAGGGCTCAAAAGGAGAACTTGAGCGAGGAACTTTGCATACAAAGCGGCGAAGTACTGAAGATGGGTCAGATAGAGATAGCTTAAGAAAAGATACAGGTAGTGCGGAAGCTTCCCTGTCAAGTGATCCAAGTATCACTAGTCTGGGAAGAATTGTAAATAATGGAGCAACATTAACCATAGGAGAGACTCAAAACATCATTTCAACTTCAGTTGAAGAGGATAATTTCATACTTCTTTGTCGCTATGGTGAAGAAGAGTTAACAAAACCAGACACTCCTCAACCACATCCTCTTCCAATGCCTGAATATGGTGGTTACTATGCACCTTTAACTGAATTCCTACCTGAAAGTTCTCAACCCATATCAGGTTTTCATCGGTGCAACTTAGCAGTTTTGTTGATCACAGATGTAGTTTCAGATGGTATCAGTATTGATTGGTCACCACATATTCCTCTAATGCTTCATATCATATTTCTGGGAATGGATCATACCAAACTTCTTATTCATGAGCACTGCAAGAAACTTTTGCTTAATTTGTTATTAATCCAGGCCAAACATAGTGATTTTTGTGGAGTAGCAAGAATACTTTTGAGTAATAAGACAATCCAATTAGGTTATGGGCTTTCTCCATTCCATCCAGTAAATGTGCTTGAGCATAATTTCATTGAATACCAAAAAGGTAATAGTGAAAATACAATAATTCAACAAGTTCCACCTGAGGAACACACTTCATGCTCTAAGTCACTGTCAAATTTTCACAATAAGAAAACTGAAACAATATCAGAGGGAAGTCATGTTGCATCATCTCTGGTTGATAGTGGACCATCTTTAGAAGATATTATTAAGGCTATGATTGCATTTTTAGCAGCAAAAAAAGGACAACCTCTTTGGCCATATGAAGATATCACTTCAAAAGTTTGGTCAATTCGAAGTGCAGACCAGTTACTAGTTTTCCTTCAGCATGTTGTATTTGTTTTTAAAGAATCAGTTCCATTAGCACGCATTGAAGAGCGTTGGGCTCAAATAGCATTACAGTTGGCATTATCATGTTCATCACGACATTATGCTGGACGATCCCTTCAGATCTTTAGAGCTTTGAAGATCCCAGTTACGTCTAGAATGTTAACTGACATATTGTCTCGTCTAGTAGAGACAGTAACTGAACAAGGGGAAGATATGCAAGGATATGTGACAGAATTAATTTTAACATTGGAAGCAGCTGTTGAAACGCTAGATTCTGCTTTTAAGATTAGTGATATTATCAAAGAAATTTTTAACTCTACACCAAACTTGACAAAAGAAAATAATAGGAAAAGCGCTCCTCATATGTTAGTTAACCAAGGAGGACTGGGTTCTGGACATCATCGGAGTACATCTTATTCTGTATCATATCCTGGTAAACGAATACCAGAATCTCCTACTGTAGAAATTAAAGATCTAAGAAATAGAAGTAGCACAGAGACAGAGATAAGAGTTAAACAAAATAGTTTGGGTAGATCTCGAAGTGCTCAATCTCTCAAGATGCTTGAGGAGCAGTTTTCTCAGGATGATAGAGTAAGCCTTCTTGCACAGTTTTTTTGGATTGCTGTTTGTTTGTTAGAATCAGATTATGAACATGAATTTCTACTTTCATTAAAACTGCTATTAAAAGTGCTGAAAAAACTTCCCCTTGATAAAAGTGAATGCCACGAAAAGGTAGAAAAAATATATAATCAGATGAAATGGTCTAATTTTCCTGGGGTTCATGCACTACTTCTGAAGGGATGTTCTTCTACAATAACTTTTGAACCTACAATTGAAGTACTAGCCTGTTTAACTCAAGTTTTAGATGTACCAGTTATAGATCCATCAGAGTCACTTGGATTTCCTTTTCATGTTATGGCATTTCTTCCATACATGTTACAAAACTATGATGAGCCTAATGCTGTGTGCATCAAAAGTGCTGAGAACATTGCTCAGGTATGCATGGAAAAGTCTAAGAAATTAGAAAATCTTGCAACAGTCATGACATTGTATAGTAGAAGATCTTTTAGTAAGGAGAATTTTCAGTGGACCAAGTGTGTGGTTAAGTATCTTTATGATGCTTACAGCAATATATTTATAAATTTGATGTCTTTTTTGGTTGAACTAATTGAAAAAACTCAATCTGTTCTGAACCAACATTTGCTGAGCATTCTGTACTGCATGCTTCATTACATGGATATTCATTCTGCTGCCCAAGCAATCAATGCAGATCTACTAAGAGTGATTTTAAAACATGTAGAAGGACCACAAGGAAAAGATGCTACAAAGATTTTGAAACTAGTGGTTACTCGCTCTTCAATACTGGCTGCTCCTCCAGCCCCTATAAATATGGCAAATGCTGCAGCTGATTGTGTCAGCATAGCATCTAGTGTGTCATTTGCTGAATCAGAATTTGGAGCTAAACGAGAGTTACCAGGTCGTACCATGGAATTTTCTTTTGATGTGTCTCAGACTCCTATAGTTGGCCAAATTTATAAAGCTAAAGCTACTGCAAAAGAAGAAGCTACTACTCAGAGCAAAGAAGAAAATCTTACAGCATCGCCTCGCAGAAGCTTATCTCACAATCATTCTTTTACAGAAAATGGTTCACTGTTTGGTTGGAGACGACCTTGGCTATCACAGGCTCGTACTCGAGAACGTTTTATTAACCTCTTGACAAGTTGTGGCCAGAGAGTTGGACTTCCCAAAAGTCCTTCAGTGATATTCAGTCAAAGTAGTGATATTATGGAGCATCAGTCCTCTATGTGCAGTAGTACAGAAGAAGTATCAGGCACCAACAATGATATGTCTGCAGAAAGCAAACTTGATGAGTGTGTACACTCAGAGCAGCAGTTTGGCATATTTAAAGATTTTGATTTCTTGGAATATGAATTAGAAGGTCAAGAAGCTGAGAATATGGATAATTTCAACTGGGGTGTTCGAAGAAGATCATTGACAAATTATGAAAGCTCAGGAGAAACAAGCAAGCCAAACGTCCGGCACCACACCAATAGCTCCAACCTGAGTCCAAGAAAAGAAGAATCATCAGATGATGAGATGGGTAGTGTGTCACCCTTAGATGATCTTCCACCAGAACTTCCCAGCAGTAGTGTTGGATTAGTGTTCCCTCCTTCATCACTTCCCTTGCTGGATCACAGTCAGCGGCCAATGAGCCCTGCCTCTGTATCTTCACAGAGTCTAGCAAGTGATGGAGATGTAACTCTCAGCAATACATCCCCAAGTTTCTCACCCCTTGCAATAGCACCACATGTGGTTACTCAACTTCCAGCTGATGATGTAGAGGAGGAATGGCGCACACATGTTCACTCCTTGATGGCTGATTCTAGTGGTGCAACAGCTGTGAATACTTACCAAGTATTGGGACGTTTGATAAAAGAAACTTTAAGCAAAACAGCAAATATGACACGGGATGTATGCCATTTCTTTTCATCTTCAATCTTGTTTAGATCTGTTGGATCACAGTTTCTGGCATTTTTGGACATATTAGTCAATCAAGTTGAATGTCCATTTGTGTTTGTTGACATGGAGACATTGAATAACTGTCTTCTACTAGAAAGACACAAATTCTGTGTTTTGGAGATTCAGGAACATTGGGAGACTTTTTCTGAGAAATGGGAACATGTTTTAGAATGTATGGATAACTTAAAATCAATTGTTAAACTAGAAAACCTTGGAGAGTCTGTTTCTGAAGGTACATTTGACGACAATCGTGTTGATTTGTGTCGTGCTCTTTATAAACTTCATTTCCAGTTTATCCTACTTCTGGACAGCTTCTGTAAACTTTTATCTCAGCTTTCTTCTGCAGTTACACAGACTCAAGTTCTTGATTTATCAGAAGAATTTACTTCCATCAAGTCTGATCTACTTCGTGCTGTGGAAGATACAGAGAGTGATCGTTTGTCTCCTCCAGGTCAAATAGAAGCCACAGTAATGACTCAACAGGAAGCAGAAAATGAACTTTTTGAATTTTTTCATGGAGGAATGTGGAGCAAAGTTATTAAACATCTTCACACTTACAGGAGTTATTTTCATGCTGCTGAAGATGATGAAATAGAAGTAGCCTTATCTCTTTACTGTCATCATCGCACTGAGGAAAGAAGTGGAATTTATGTGATGACACACACTGATCATGACCTAACTGATGTTTCCCGACAGTTAATGGACTGCAGTTTACACCTGTCTTCATTAATTCATGGTCTAGAACATAGTGTAAGTCCTGATCACAATTCTTCAGACAATAATACACAAAAAACTGAGCTGTGAGTGCTTACAGAAATTAAAAAACACAAATATTGTTTGTTTATATGTGTACAAGTATAATTAAAACAGGTTAAAAATGATGTACATTCAATTTGTTGCTTGTATGTAATTTAGTTAGTATTTTAATACAGTGTCTGTTAAATATTACTACTACTTTACAGGTAGTAAAGTTAATAGTGTTATCTTATAAACCACAATTTTATTTCAAAAAACTATTGGTATTATTAGGTTGTCTGTTCTCATCATTAGGTTTTTCTTCAGAATATTGTTGTAGATTAACATTATTCCATTTTGGTTTCTTCACAAAATTATTGACTTATTAAACCTTTCAGTAGCAGAGCTACATTTTTAAATAACTTATTGTTTATATTTAGGAAAAGGCTTCTTAACTTTTCTCTTCTTCTGTAAAAATACATTATGTATAATTTAAAAAATTTCCAAAAAAGTACATCAATCTCAAACATATTTAAATGTAATAGTTGTGATTATTTTGGTATTTCAATTGTTTCTAGGTGAAAATATTCAAGTAAAATATATATTATCTTTAAATCATCCTGTATTTTGTTAATATATTAAAACATTATTTTGGGAAATTTAAAGCCTAAGTTCACCAATGTTCAGTTTTGATTCAAGATTCTTCTGGCATACAGCAGAATTAGTATATAAAGCTTGTTTGTCTAATATTTCCGCTAAAATTTGTGTGAACCACAAAATTAATTTTATTCAGTCACATAAATGTAGTGCAGACTGAAAATTTTTGGCTTATTATTCAAATGTCTTTCTCCTTTTTTGACATTTTAAATTATGGTAGAAAGTTAGTATTTCAATGCCTAAAATAATATATTTTTAGTATGTAATGTTTTAGCCATAGGTTCACTTTAGGCATAAGCTGTTTTAGAAGGAACAGTTTGTTAGCTCTCATTGTTATGGACATCTGTATAAGTATTCCCATGTCAGTTTTGAATTTGGTACAAAGGGTGTCCTACTTCAAACTTCCCAGAGTTTACAGATTTCAAGTTTCAAGTATATAATGATATATTAAAAAAGTTTTCTTTTTTATTATTTATAATACTTTATGAATGAATAATAAGGGACCATATGATTCTTCAAGATTGTTCTTGCACACCTATCCTTGAGCAAAGTAAAAAATTTAAACCCATCTTTCATTTTAAGGGAAATCATATTTTCCTCTTAATCTTTGTAACATGCTGGTCTCCATTACTGCCAACAGCAATTCATTCCATCAGCCAGTCAATCTTTAATTTGTGTCCTCTTGCCTTATTGTTTTTGGAATACAGCACAAATAAATCGGAGCCCTTTATCTTATCAATCCTCCAGATAATCTTGAGATTTCAATAAGATCACCTCTTACCATCCATTTCTCAAGAGAAAATAGGTTAAGATAACCCATCCAACCCTGAACCCTTTCCAGTAAGTCAATATCTTTCCTTATATAAAGAGACCAAAATTGTAAACCCTACTCTACGTGACATCTAACAAGTGATTTGATTTATATAGAGATAATGAACTATTTTGACTTGAAATCAGTATACCTATAAATATGCCCTAAAATTCTGTTAGCTTTACTACTAACAACAGAGAGTTGCCTCAATGACTTTTCCACTGTTGTGCTAAGATCCTTTTCACCACTCATTCCTTTGAGTTGGTTCCAGTCTATGTTAAACGTGTAATCCAAATTGTGTTAAACCAAGTTCATTACCTTGCACTTATTATGACTAAAGGTCATAATTTACCAAATGTTTATCCAACTTACCAGTTGACACAAGTCATTATGTAATACCTCAACATCCTCAATAAAGCAAGAAATACCCAAAGTTTAATGTTATTAGCAAACTTTTGTAATTATGTCCATATCAATATCATTAATATGAATAATAAAAAAGCCAAGGTTTGGGCATTGAATCCTGAGGCACTCTCCTAGTAACAAGAAGCCTTTTTATTTCTTTGGTCAACCTTAAGATCCCTGTAATAAGTTTTCCTCAACCCCCTACCAATGTGATTTTTGTAGCTAACCTTCTGTGTGGCAAATTTTCAAAAAAAAATTTAAAATATTATTCCCACTTTTTCAATTCTCCAGATAACAAGTATCAACCTGAAAAAACAAATTCATAAAGTTAGTTAGGATAGATTTCCCATTGGTGAATTCAAATTGGTCTTCATTTATGATATCATATTTCACTAAATGATTTTGTATAAGTTTATTTACGAGACTAGAATTTCTCCCATTACACAAATAAGACTAACTTGTCTATAATTTCCAGGGCAACTTCTGTCTTATCCCCATTAAAAATAGGAATAGATTAACATATTGGCATCCCTGCAATCCTCATACAGTTGCCCACTCTACTGATATACTAAAAATGGAAGAGAAATAGAGGTTCCATCTGATCTTTGACCTTATTTAAAACCCTGAGGAAAACCTTTTCTGATCTTCATGCTTTATCTACTTTTAATCTTCTAAGTCTTTGTAGTTACTATCAATGAGTTAAAAACAACTTGTACCTGAAGCTAAAATGTTAACCAGTAAAATAATATTTCATGACCTTTTGAATCATATTCAATTAAGAAGACATGATTATATAGTTTATTTATGAAATTAGCCATTAAAAAAAAAATAATTATAAAATTACTTTGAAAAACTCAATGCTATTGTGGTTAAAATTTGTATATTGTTTTTTATGAAACTATGTACTGTTGAAATGTGTAAAATAAATATTCAGCTGAATAAGACACGTGACAGGCTTTAGTGTTTGCAACTCAGTATTTTTTGTTCTTACCATAATTTAAGGTTTTAATATAATGTTTAAACGTGTACCTATACTTTATGGTTTTACAAATCAACTTAGACATTTTGTTTCTAAATTTTTCTGACTTTATTTTCATGTTTTCATATTGTTAACAAATCAGACTTGTATAGTATCAAATATTTTAATATCCTTAATTAGTTTATTCATTATTCTCTTTGACTCAGTTGTAAATTACTTGTTTTTTTTGCTATAGTTAATACAAGAGTCACTCTGTATTTCATTCAAACATTCACCAGTGTAGTGAGAAGGCATAAAATACTTTCTCTCACAGAATCCACAAAATTGTTTAACAGTGAACTGTAAGTCATTCATTACTTATTAGACTGTTTGATGTAATTACAAGTTTAAATGAAAAGATCGTGGTCTAAGTTTTAGTCTGTTCAGAATTTTGACATTAAGTATAAATTTTCAAATATTGAATGAATGAAATAATTTAATTTCTATGATCATAAAAAAAACTAAACATATATTTACACACTGAAAGCACTTTAAAGTTGTAAATAAATCTTAGAAAGTGTGACATGTATGATATAGTAGTTGCCAGTGTAAGATTTTTAGGTTTTTTTTATCCTCATTGATTAATGGTGTACTAGTATTAAATTTAATAATGAAAAGCATACACTGTGTAGCAAAAAAGAAAGAAAAAAATATGAAACTACTTTTTTTTACTTAAAAATTTATTTAACTGTAAAATATGTTCTTGCTTTGAAATAGTTTTTTTGTTTGAGAACTCTAAAATTAATTGTGATTGTAGTACCCAACAAAATATTTAATTTTACAGTTGGGGTACTACTTAAAAACAAATACAAAAACTAAAAGCTCAGACAATAAGTGATGTATTTGTTTTATTGAAGAATTATAGTATCCATTTGAATTTTAAAATGTTAAATGAGACTGTTTGGTCATATAGTAGCTTAATTTTTCTTTTAATTGCTTCTAGTCATAATTACTGCATAAGAATTTACACAAGATATTTGTAAAACATACAAGGGAGATAACTGCCATATGCACACTTTATTTGGTTACAATGTAGCAAAAAACACATGTACATCAATCAAGAAAAACTATGTAAAACAGGGATATATTTAAGCTTTGTTTGTATTCTGGGCCTCGCTATGTCTACTTACATAAATTTTCATCCCAACATTTTTCAGTTGTGTAGAAACCTATGTTTGAATAGTATGATTATAACTTTATGTATGCTTATGAAGGTAAACTTTTACATGTAAATTACATTAATGATAATATAGTTATTGTTTTTTTTGTTTTTTGTAAATAAATACTGTTTGCAGTTGTCGGTCCTGTTAAAATAGTTGTGTAATGCAAAGCTTCTCCTTTTACTGTATAAATGAACACTTGTACACAAATTTTTATATGCTGAATATAAGTAAATATGTGGTGAAAATAATATATATGTATATTAATAAATGTTACTGGAATTTTTTGTTATGTAAAAATTCTTCAAATGATAAAATAAAGCAGTTGTTAAATGTTTAAAAATCTTATGATCTTGGAAAAGATCACAAATTTCACTTCAGACTGATTCATTTTTCTTAATGAAGCATGATAATATATTTCATGATAAGAGTTAGTATTACTGATCATAAAATTTGACCAATTTATCTCACTACAAAATATTAATGTGCATCTTAATAATGTTCAGTATTGTACAAGTTACATAACTTTTCAGTTACAAACATTAAAAACAAGGTAATATAATGTAGATTGACTGGCATTACTTATTCCTCACCCATTGAAATAAGCAACCAAATGACAAAATTCAAGATTAATGTAGCTATTTACATCCATATACAATTGCACGTTTAAGTGGTGGACGGAAATAAAGTACATGGAAAAAAAGTCACAATTTTGGCTAGGAAGAAAAAAGTCACAATTTTGGCTAGGAAGAAAAAAGTCATAGGAAAAAAAGCCACAATTTTTCTAATACTCAAGTACAATGTAAAGTAATATAAAAACATATTAGTGTTAATTATTTAATGCAATAATAATGTGATGGATGATATGTAACATTATATGAAAGTACATGACACACACACATTAATTACAGTCTTACATAACTGTTGTACAAGAAGATATATATATATAAAAAAGTAAGTGAGGAACAAAGCTACTCGCCTGGCTTATCACTACCCGAGGCTTTACATCTGACCTGAGGAATGTGGTGCCTGACCTCACTTGAGATCAGTCCAGATTACATTCGTGGATTGCTCCTTTTTACATTTCATACATTATATATTGAATTTACTAACACACCAACTAATCTAAGCATTTCTTTATAAAGATTGATAGTGTCATGCTTGTTAATCAAATAGCACTCTACAAACAGTCTATTAACTTGACAAGTGTATTTATATATATAATGGAGTGTAAATGCACTTTTCTGGCATATATGAGGTCAATCATCACACGAATGAAAAAATTTAACTTCAATGAACTTAAAAAATTTTAAACACAAGTTTTGAAATTGTGACTTTTTCTCCACATTCATAAAATTTAACTGAGCACAACAAATCATCATACAAAACAAATTAGAAGTTTTTAACATACTTTACAAGATAAGAAATCTATTGTCCTTGATGTTCAATTTCATATTTCCAACTCTTCATTTTCATGAAATGGACTAATAAGAATAATACTTTTTCTGTACTTCAGAGAAAACAAAGCCTGAATTCTAAGCCTCTCATTGTAGCCTAAACTACTTATATCAGATATCACTTAATATAATCATTTTTAGCCTATGCACTAAACCAAAACCTTCTATGTCCCACAATGCAAGATACTTAATTTGTATAATTACTCAGAAAACTTGCATATATTAAATATTTGAGTTATTCTATGTACCACCATCAATAAATATCCTTGTGTATTAAAGACTGAAAAGCAATGATCTAATAGTTTATCTCTGCACTTTTTCATACATGTTGATAAACTTCTTCCTAGAGTAAAATAATATTAGTAACCTTGCTTTTAAATTCAAAATTCCTATAATTAGAATAAAAAACTGTTTGGTCTTTTCCTCACAGTTAAAGATCAGGAGAAAATTAAAGTTTTATCAAGAACCCCATATTAATCCTCATAATGTTTTTGTCATGGAACACGTTTTTCTCCCTCAAGCAGTACTTGTTCATACATGTAACTTTACACTTCACAGTATTGAAACTCGTATTCAATATTTTAGCTGTATCAATTCTAAGCCTGTCAAAGTACTTTGAATAAGAGAAACATCTTTAATAAAACCAGATTAAGTTCATTCCAACATCCTGTATCATCAGAGAATATGAAAATATTACCACTTAAATAATTATCCAAGATGTCTTACACAAAGTAATAAACGAAGAGACCTCATACATGTTGGGCCCCAGTAATTACAATTACCTAATTTGAAGTATGCCTATTTTTTACTCTCTGTATTCTCTAATTCACTTTTCTGTCCACTTTTTATACTTGTGCATTAATCTTATAAGTACTGAACATACTAACTAATCTATTACATGATAAATTTTCAAAGGCTTTGTGACATTTAAGATACACAACACTAGCTGAAATGGCCTCTTTCAAAATAGCAAAAGCCTTATCAAAAACCTACAACAGTACAAGTTGATAAGGCAAGAAAACTGTCCACAAGAATGATGCTGATAATTGTTAAATAGATGCCAAATTTTCAACTGCTTTTCTAAATTACTTCTGACAATAGGTTCCAACATCTGAATTAACTAACAAAAGAAAGGGTGTATCATTTTGAGGGAAGATGTCTTCAGATATCACAACCATGAAAAAATTCCCTTTGTATCAATTAATAAATGTTTGTTTGTTTTTGTGAATTTCGCGCAAAGCTACACGAGGGCTATCTGCGCTAGCCGTCCCTAATTTAGCAGTGTAAGACAGCTAGGGAAGGCAGCTAGTCATCACCACCCACCGCCAACTCTTGGGCTACTCTTT